GGTCTTTGGTGAAGGAAACCATGGCGTTCAGACAGAATACAATAGGAACCTTTGCTTTCGGAGAACAGAGAGGAGAGAGCTGCCAGCAGTGGTTATGGGATGGAGACCCAGCTCCGGGGACCCGAGTAAGAAGGGGCAGTCAGGATGGGGAGGGGAGGCTGTTGGGGGACCCAGAGGAGGTCTGAAGGAGCAGACCCACAGGCCTGGTGCGGGGCCTCTGCCCCGAATGGGGCCTCCACCACTGCATCACTGCCCGCCCAGCCTCCGAACACTCTAAGGGAAGGGGCCCTCCCTCCCCGCCCCCTCCGAGCCGAGCGCAGGGGAAACCTGGGCTCTCACTGTTCAGGGCCTGCTGGAGGAAAGACTGGCAGGGGCGACCCCCAGCAGTGCCACCAGGCTGGCTTCTGTCCACCTGCCTGGTGCAGGTACCTTCCCACACAACCCTTCAGGATGCCCGTGAACCCACCAGAGATGCGGGGGACTCTGCTGGGCAGGGGTCCTGCTGAGCTGAGCAAGGTCTAGACGCTTCAGTGGGGCCGAGGCTTCCTGGGGTCCCCATCACCTTTATAAAGTGCCGCTGTTTTCCTGCTCTTTAAAAACATATCCGTCTTGTACCCATTCCACGGTATCCACTTTGTCCCTGGACAATCACAGATAGCTTTAATACTGTTTGTTTCGTCGGAGGGGGGACAGGAGCTAAATCTGGAAGTCAAGGTAACAAACACCCTCTATTATCGGAGTGGCGAGAATGCAGCTGGAATATAGATTGCAGGGGCATTGAAAGGTTCTTTGAGCTCTGCCAGGAGAAATACTATAGATCTTTTCGGGTCTCTTTCTTCGCGTATTGTCAAATGACAGGAGGGAAAATGAAATTGGAAAGTTCCCGTTGGGGCAGTTTTTTAATGATGCATGAAATGACAAAAAATCTGTCTTGTCTGGACGCTGCTTCTGAGACGGTTGTCTGGGCCAGGAGACTCTCCCCTCAAGGTCAGTGGAAATCTGGTGTCCGGGCGATACTTCCCAATCAGATAATGGCTTTCTGTAGCTGCGTCTGTACCCGCCCCAGGCCTTACGCAGACTATCGATCAGCTCCTGGAGCCAAATTTTGCATTACTACAAATGACTTACTTGCATGTTGCTGAGAAATTCTTACTTTTTAGGGCCTCGTTTTTTCCATTAAAACTGCATGACAGAAAAGCAGGAGTGACTCAGGGATCACAAAGTACAATTTGTGTGCATCTCTCATTCGTCCAAGAAATGTGTGCAGCCCGTAAGCTAGGTGAAACTGAACCAGCGAAGAAGAAAAGAGGAAAACCGAGCCATTATTTGTACCATTTCAAGGAAGCCCATGCTTCGCACCAAAGTTTGCAGAATGATGGTAAACGGCGTGGCTGAGTTTCTGAGGAAAATGCCGACTGACCCCGTCAAGTTCCCACTCAGGGGACGTGTAGACCGAACAGTGTTCTGGGGAGACCTCCCTGGCTTCTGCACAGTCTCCCCACGTCAGCTTTCCGTGTTTGCACCCCGGGGGAGATTTCACTGGCTTTGACGTCCCCGGTGACCCAGCAACCACGCATGGGCGTGTCGCCGAGGAAATGTCCCCCCGGAGGGCCAGACAGCAACTTCAAGTCTGACGTGACACTTGGAAAAGGACGACCCCATTTGTCTCATGCTCCGGGGCTCGGGAAACATCCTTTCTGGTTCTTAAGAGACGCTGGGCGGGAAGTCTCTCCGAAGAGACGGGTGGTCCCAGGGCCCTGAGCTCCGGCCTCGTGTGTGGGCTGCGAGGGGCCTGTGGGTGGAGGCTGCTCTTCTGAGTGAGTGGTGCCCAGCGAGGGGTGCAGGCACTGGGGGCCAGTGTGGAGCGACTGGCCCCTTCTTCTCCACAGCCCTTGAGAAGCTCGGAGTGAAACCTCCGGCAGGCCCAGCGGCCCTTCCCGCCCATTTGAGCCACAGGAAGAGCCACAGAGCATCCAGCCCAGCGTGACAATTCCACTCCGAGCCAAGCGAGTGGGAACAGTACTGGGTCAGGCCTGGCACCCACACCGGGTGGGGGGTGGGGGCTGTGATCAGCCACATCTGTCCCCCTCCCCCCACCCCGCTCTCCCATGGAATACCTCTAAATCCTGACTCAGTGTAAGAAGGTCTAGTTTCAGTTTTTTGCAGGTGGCTGTCCAATTTTTCCATCATTCATTGAATAGATGATCTCTACCTCATTGTGTGTTCTGGTCTCCTTCATCCCATATTAATGGACCATGAAGGCATGGGTTTATTTCTGGGCATTTCATTCTACTCCATTGAGCTATACGTCTGTTTTTTTTTAATGCCAGTACCACCCTGTTTTGATTACTATGGCTTCATAGTATAGTCACATCAGGTAGCATGATTCCTCCAACTTGGTTCTTCTTTCTCAAGATTGCTGGGGCTGGTTATTCAGGGTCTGTTGTGGTTCCACATACATTTTTGGAATACTTGTTCTAGTTCTGTGAAATATGCAATTGGTGTGTTGATAGGAACTGCACTGAATCTATAGATTGCTTTCAGTAGTATGGACATTTTAATGATGTTCATTTTTGCTGCCTATGAACATGGGCAGCAAAAATTAGCTTCCATATACTTCCATTTATTTGTATGACCTTCAGTTGATTTTTTCAGTGTCTTGTAATTTTCGGAGTATAAGTCTCTTACATCTTTGGTTAAGTTCATTCCAAGGTATTTTTTTAATGCAATTGTAAATGGGATGGGTTCATTAGTTTCCCTTTTGATACTTCATAATAGGTGAATTCATTGTGGTTTTGACTGTGTAGAAATTTCAGAAGTTTTACATAGTGAATCTGTTCATGTTTTCTTTTGGGTTTCCCCTTTCTGCTTAAAAAGATCTTTCTCATTCTAAATTTTTATTAAGACCCTATTTTTTAATATATTTTCAGTTTAGACCTTTAAGCATCTGAAATTTAATTGTTGTGTGGTGTGAGGCAGATAATCCCATCTTTAAAAGGTAATACATTATATAAATGTGTACTTACACACACATACATTGCAAAATGATTCTTCATTGCGCGGTAGCATTATAAGGGAGATTTTTTTCCTTAGGTTTAGTTCTATTTTAAAATATTTCTATAAGGAGTATGTCTTATCATAAAAGCACATTACAAGCTACTTTTTAAAAAAAAATTTAGAGAGGGGTAAGGAAGGGAGAAAGAGGGGGAGAGAAACATCCACTGGTTGCTTCCAGTATGTGCCCTGACTGGGCACCGACCCCACAACCCAGGTGTGCCCAAAAATCAAACTGGCGACCTTTCCGTGTGCAGGGCACCCCCAACCACCCGAGCCACCCCAGCGGGGGTGCAGACGCTATCTTTAAAAGGACCTATACGAGGTCACTCAGAGGCGAGGTTCCTACTACCCGGGGGGGACAGTCAAATCGGGCTGTAAGTACATTTCACAGTTGTCCAAACGCCTAGGTGTATGTGTTCCTCTGCAGGGTCTAGGATGCTCTCATTTTCCTTGAAATTCATCCTTTACGGTTCACGCCCCATCTCAGTGTGACTCCACTCTGTGACTCAAACCCAAAGACCAGCTCATTAAACATTAAAAGTAAATGTACTCCTTCCTGTAAGGAGTATTTCGGGGACAAGTGCGAGTATTAATAGGCTATATGCCACAAGGATTTAATTTTATTGTTTACCTCGCTTTATAATTATGGGTATATTACATTTTTAATGAATTTACTTGTTATCATGCTATACATATCCTCTTCTAGACTACCTGTGTGATGTGGTAGTTACTTCTCATAGATAAATACATATATACATACACACACACACATATATATATATTTTTTTTTTTTTGCTGGAGAAGACAGTGTATACTTCTCAGGCAAGGTTTTCTTATTTCTGCTTAAAATCAAACTGAGTTTCAAGGAGAAGAATACAAGCATCCCAGTTTATTTAAATCAACAGTCAGCAAAATCATTTTGCCTGGCTTATCTTTGACTTAAATAACGTTGCTAAATGATACACGCAACCCCGACAGAATGTGCATTTTCTGACGTTCTCTGATGATAAGATAGATGTACACACTTAAATCGCTTCACCTCACTGTTTAGTTAGCAGTGACATCTTAGATTCAAGCTGACCGCGCCGAAGTGTCACGCCACAAGTGAAACAGTCTGTGCCATTCTGAAGCTGTCGGTTACATCAGAATGCTGTCCTACCTTCCCGTCCCCGAACACTGGCTCTTCAAGCCTCAGGCGCCACCGCGAGCACGTGTGGCTTTGCAAGGCAGTGGCGGGAGTCTGGTTGTGTTTTCCCACCGGGCCGGCGCCGAGGCCTGTTGAATGCCGGCCCTCGTCTGTGGAGTCGGGCTTTCTGAGATGAAGGTCAATGTCAGTGAGACGCTGTGCCCATTTGCTAAGAGCCCGGGTAATAAATCCCAATAGGTAAACACAGGGCTGGAGGTGATCTTTTATTCCCCAGAGAGATCTGCAGTTGGGATGGTTGGCCCTGGATGGACTTCCACCGGAACGCACACACGTTGGGAACTTGGACCTGTGACTTTGAAACCCTAGGAAGCAAAACCCCTACTGAGGACTTCGGAGTGTTATCTTCTCGCTTAGAAGGGACGCAGGAGCAGGCCAGTTACAAGGTGCAGCCTTTCTGCAGAAGATGCTACCATTTGCCTTTTTACAGGAAACATGCTCTGAAAGAAATTTTCTAGACCATCGCTGAAATCCAAAAGCCTGCACCGGGCCTTCCGCAGCAAGTCCCTGACGGTCCCCAGCCTCCCCGAGGGGCGAGGACCGCGGAGCAGCGAGGACCACGGAGCAGCGCCCCAGGAGAAGGCACCGTGACTTCCGCGCCCAGCCCGTGCGGTGCGCAGCGCGCGCTGGAAGAAGCGAACCCCTATTCACGTCGGCCTGAATGGGTCGGTGGAGTTCGAAAATTACGGTGCGATCATCAAGTCCGACGTCGCAGCTGTGCTGTCCCCAGGGCCACTGTCTAGAACAAACTCCGCTCATTCACTGCCCGGTAGCAGGACGAGGAGCAGACGCGGAACATCACGGGCAGGCGGGCGGCGCCGAAGACGTTGCAGGACTGGATGACGCGGTACCCTTCCCCGAACCTGGGGCCTTGGCACCACTCGCACTTGGACACGCTGCAATGGAAGAAGCGTTGCGTTAATCCGCGGTCAGTGTCCGCTCAGAAGAGACACTCGGCTGCTGCTGCACAAGACTCAGAGTAGTGGGACGTGTGACCTTCATCATCACTGATCTTACCGTCTGATCGAGGGGCTAAGGCATATATATATATACAAGTGAGCAGGTGAACGGTAAATAAATAAGGGAGCCCTGACTGGTGTGGCTCAGGGGGCTGGGCGTTGTCCCGCAAACTGAAACATTGCTGGTTCAATTCCTGGTCAGGCAACATTTTAAGCAATGCATGTGTGTGTGCGTGTGTGTGCGCGTGTGGTGGGCTCTGCGTGTGTGAGTTCACAGTAAAACTGTCCTCTGAGCCTGCAGTGAAGGAAGGACATTTTAAATCCTTTACAGCACATTTTGGTTAAAAGGGCTTCGTGATTGCCTTACCACTTCAGTAACACTTGAATTTTCGCCGGGATGGCATCGTAGTATTTGTGCAGATTATTTTTCAGAAAGAACAGCGAAGCAGCTTCAGTGAGGCGCTGTGGACTGTTCAGAGAGTTCTCTTTCCAGAGGTAAGGATGAGTGAAGTTATTATCAAATCGGATTTTTTTCAGGTTCAGCCTCAAAATCCCAGGCGGAAAAGACGTCAGGTCATTCCCGTCGACCACCAGCAGTCTGAGTGACCTGCGGACAGAGAGCACCGCACTTGAACAGGCGGCCATGCAACTGACGACACTGAGGGGACAGTCCGCCCCAGTGCTCCTTAAAACTAGTATTATAAAACTCAGTAACGATAAAAGATAAGGGTTTAAGTGCTCCCTTAGAATCAAGAGAATCAACTTAAAGAGCAACTGACCCAAGATACCACTGTGCAGAAAAGTTCGTGTGTGGGAACCGTAGAATCGAGCATGTATTTTGGGTCCTGCGACGTGTCATCACCACATAGAAAGAAACAATCACAAACACAGCAGGGTGCATGGATGTTGCACCACAGAAAACAGACCGTGTGTGGTATAATGACACGAAGAAAGAGTTTATTTTCATAGACCAATTGAACATCATTACCTATTTTTTTCATTTAAGTCCAATCAAAACAGTGAAACTACCACTGTCCAAAGGTGCCACGCTGTGTTTTGACTTTGCGTCCCCCGAGTCCCCTTGGTTTTCGCTGTGCCAGTTGCTTCTTCCTTTACTCAGAGAGAACCAACACTACTGGTCTTCTCATCTTTTTAAGCCCTTGTGTTGATGTGTTTTCTGCGGTCACTTACCTCCTTTCTACCTAGTGCTCAAAAACGGTCAGAAAAGGATCTAGTCATGAGAGACATAACAATCAAACTGAGAGCTGATCCACCTTGTCAAACGGATCAGGAGTGAAGACGCTGATAGGACCAGCTGGCTGCAGATTTTCCACGAAAAGACTTGAGGTAACAAGCAGCTCTGGGGGCCTACAGATTCTCATTTGCATTCTAGGGCCCCGTCTCTTGTCCACGCAATTTCAGTGCCTGAAGACAGCAATGCTAAGAAGACGGTCCCTCGGTCCCTCTGGCTGGCTTCATCCCCACCCCCCACAGCCCGACTACTGCACTTCCCGTCGTCTGGGGAGGGGGAGCCAGAGAGGGCCCCCCCCCCCCCCCGCTCTGCTTCGGTCCTGAAGGGGAGAGCTGGCAGGGTCACCTTCTCCCTCTACAGCAAGCACGACCGAGGGGCCGAGGCAGAGAGCCCTACGAGGATCAGAGCAAGCCCAGGGCCCTGCAGAGACATGCGGCGGAGTGTCCCCAGGGCACCAGTGGATGGCGCTGCCCTGCCTGGGCTGGCGCACCTGGGCTGGCGCACCTGCGAGGCCCCACCGATAGGGGCCCACCCTTCCTCTCAGTAAGTTCTGGGGGCGCTCAGGAGGTGATATGGCTTGCAAAGCTAAACAGTCTTTAAAGAGCTCCTTGCTGAGATAACGTGAACATCCCGGGTAGCCCCAAACCTCCTCCTGCTCTGCCCCGGACTCTCTCAGCGCCCTGAACGGTGCTCCGAGGCGTCTAACCTGAGACCTGCGCAGGAGGCAGGGCGGCCAGGAGAGAAAAGCAAACAAAACACACGACACAGGATTCCCGAGGCCAGCGCTGCTTTATTTCTCTGCTGGGGCAAGAGAAACATGAAGGTTCAAATACAGCACGTGCACACACACGCAGACTTTCTTGAACCAGAATACATGATTTGTACAACTAAAAAATTAAGTGCATGAGCTGAAGAAGAACATGGTATTCGTAGAGATCTGAGTTAGCGACGAAGGAGAAGAAATTACTGAAACAGAGCCAAAACACTTTAAAAAAAATGACAAGTTCTGGAGAGCGGAGAGGGGCCGGAGGTGGAATCAAACACCAGTGGCCGGCGCCCTCGTCAACCCCGCCCACACAATGGAGCCCGCGGAGAAGCCCTCCAGCAGGGGGCTCCCAGGGCCTCCAGGAGGGGGCCCAGATCCCGGCACTGCACTGCACTGCACGCAGTGACCAGCTCCACCCTCCATGCGGACAGGAGCTGCCCTGTTCAGGCTCCCACCCCCTGCATCTCCTCATCTGGCCATCGATGTGTATTTTTTTAGTGTATGTGCTTTATAGTAAATTGGGAATCGGGAGAGTAAATGGGTTTCCAAAGTTCTGGGCGCTGCTCTGGCAAATGAATTACACCCGAGGAGGAGGTTGAGGGGACCTCTGATTCACAGCCAGACAGAGGGCCGGGCGACAACTTAGCTTGGGGGCAGTCTTGTGGGACCGAGCCCTTAACCAGGGGGGTCGAAAGCCACCCCGGCAGAGTGTGTCTGCAGTGAGACGGACTGCAGGACGCCCAGCCGGTGCCCAAGGATCTCCTGGTGCACCCGGCCTTACCAGAGCGGAACTGAGTGCACAGCACTCTAAACAAGTTAACAAAAAACAAGACGTACTCCTAAGAATAATCTGATAAAATTCCTGAGGATCAAGGTAATGAGAGAATCATAGTCTTTCCAGATAAATAATAATAACCCCTTAAAGAGAAAGAGGAATGGAACTGGCCTCGGGCACCTCGCCTGCCTCTCGGGAAGCTGCAGGAGGGTGGGGGATGGAGGTGGCCCCGCCCCGGGGACATGGGACACGCTGTGCTGCTTACAAAGCTGTGAGCGCTCAGTGCTAAATATAGTCTTTCGATAAAGAGACAGGATGACAAGAACAATGCTAATGGCAATCCCAAACGAAGGTTCCTGAACTGTTTCAGCAAAACAGGTAATTAGGTCAGAGGTGGATGCTATGAGTAAGAAAGCAGGACTAGAAAGCATTCTAGGGTCCCCACTACTGGTGGAGTGCCCAGAGGGGGACACCCCAGGTGGGAGGGGATGGCAGCTTTTGTCTTGCTTTTCATAAAATAGTAAAGAAACATGTATGTATGAGTTTTGGGAAAGGAAAGACAGCTATTAACAAACTGGGAAAGTACTGTTGAGTTCCAAAATTAACAAGGAAGAAAAAAAGAAAAACAATGTCCTAAAAAATTAAATATATATATATATATATAAGAAAAGGAGAAAGTAAATAAATAGTAAATGCAAAGTAAAATGGAAGGCAAAAAATATATCAGTCATAACAAATGTGAACACTCTCAATTCCTCTATTAAATACAAAGATTGCTACGTGGGAAATTAAATAACTAGTATAAATATTAGGAAAGTGTAGAAAAATTATCTAGTTTTATTGAAGATAACATTACACTTCTTGAAAACCAAAGACAATTTAGTAAAACTCAACTAAAACTGATAGATTTTAAATTAATGTAAAGAAATACATAGCTTTTCTCTATTCTGTACTGGCAATAGTCAGCTAGAAATAAAACTTAAGAGAAAATATTACGTTCCCAGGAGCAACACAACTATAAAATATTTAGAAAGGTTAGTAAGAAATATAAAGTATAATGAGTCATAAATTCTTATAAAGAACATAAGATCTGAACAAATGAAAAAATATACTATATTTTAGAATGAAAAGACATTATCAAAAATATTAATTCTTCAAAATTTATATATAAACTCAAGACAATTACAATTAAAATCCTAACATTGTGTTTATGTGTTATGGGTGAGGAGGGACTTGGAATGATATCAAATATCTTAAAGATCATGATCTAAAGACAATAGTTAGATTTTATTGAAATCTAATCTTCCCAATAATTATTAAAAATTATTCTAAAGTCATAGTCAAAATAGTACAGCACTCACCTAGAAGGTTACCGGTAAACTTCAGAGACTTTTTAAAAATTAATGTGAGAAAGAAATGGAGGTTGGCATTAAAATTATATTCTGTATTATTGGCGTTTTTGTATGTATTTCCTTACATAAAATACAACAACCACAGGCACACACATAAAAAAATGGACAAAATAACTCGTCATTCTATTAAGTGGTCATCAGTATTGTCCTTTAAGTAATTATTCATAATGTTACGTCCTAAAAATAATGTATGCCATTTAAATTACATTTTAGTCAATGTTAGGCTTTACGTATATTTTGTGGTTATTAAATAAATGAATGATCTCTATTTTCCCCATCAAATCATCACCAAATAAGCCCTCCAGGAGCAAATGATTTTGTGTGTACTTACTACTTTCAAAATACCTGAGTAGCTGGATTTCATTCGGAATAACAGCAATACTATTGTAGGAAACATTAAGTTCCTCAAGATAGGGCAAGTAAAATAACCTTAAACAGAAAGAGAAAATGAATTGTAAAAATGGTTATCTATTTGTTTTAACTAGGCATAAATAAGGCTGTTCAAAGGTTTGTCCATCTGCCCTGGCTGGTGTAGCTCAGCGGATTGGGCTCGGGCCTGCAAACCAAAGGGTTTCTGGTTCGATTCCCAGTCAGGGCACATGCCCGGGTTGTGGGCCAGGTCCCCAGTAGGGGATGTGTGAGACACAACCACACGTTGATGTTTCTCTCCCTCTCTCCTTTCCTTCCCCTCTCTCTAAAAATAAAAATAAATAAAAATTTTTTTAAAAGGTTTGTCGATCTTCTTCATCCTTTCAAGGAACCAGCCCTTGGTTTTATTGATAATTTGTATTTTTTTAGATACTTATTTCTTCTATTTTGGCTCTGATCTTTATTACTTCCTTTCTCCTATTCACTCTGGGCTTTGTTTTTCTTTTTCAAGTTCCTGTGAGTATTAAGTCAGATTGTTTATTTGAGATTTTTCTTGTTTCTTGAGGCAGGCCTGTAATGCTATGAATTTCCCTCTTGAGACTGCTTTTGCTGTATCCCAGCCAGGTTTTGGGTTTCTCTGTTCTCATTTTTATTTGTTTCAAGGTATCTTTTGATTTCTTCCTTGATCTCTTTGTTAGCCCACTCACTGTTTGGTGACATGTTATTCAGCCTCCACGACTTAGTGTGTTTTTCGGTTTTTTTCTTGTAATTGATTTCTAGTTTCATACCATTATGGTCACAGCAGATGCTCGATGATTTCAATCTTCTTAAATTTATTGAAACTTACTTTATATTTTAAAATGTGGTCCACCCTAGACAATATTTCATGTGCAGTATTTTGCTGCTTTGGGGTCAAATGCTCTGAAGACATCAACTAAATCCATCTGACCTAGTGTGTCATTTAAGGCCACTGTTGTCCTCAGTGAGTTCCTGACTGGAAGATCTCACCCCTTCCCGACTCTGGGGCTCCGAGCTGGGGAGCTTGGCTTGGGGCTGAGGTCCCCCACTTCTCAGAGGGAGCGCGCCATGAGGCAGCCCATGAGAGCGTTTACAGGAGCTTAGACATTATAAAGACTAATTTTTTAGTTCACAGATTAGGGAATTGAGGTCAACAATGATTAACTGCCATCTATGTAGCTGGTAGTATTATGTCTAACACAACAACGAAAAACAGGTCAGCTACTTGAAAGAGAATGAGAATTATCAAATAGCTAAAACGTTGCTAGGTGCTTTCAAAAGGGGAGTTGATCCTGTTCTAAATCATAAGCTTTTTATTTCTCTGTTTATGATTTCCAACTCTCAACCTTACCCAGGCGGAAGAGTCAAAATCAAATTAAAGGCGATGTTGAGAACTCTGAGGAACCGAAGCTGCTGGATTTCCGAAGGGATTGCTTTGATGGGGTTGTTCCTCAGGATCAGTATTTGTAAATACTTCAGACAGAATATCTGAGGGACAGACAAGAGAAACAAACGTGAGCAGAATCATAAGGTATGCAAATTTCTATTTGTTACGTCTTATAAACCCTTTGACCAGATGTAGCAGGGCCAGTACAGCACCATGAGTTGCCTGTATCAAACACCTCTGGAAAGCCGTCAAAATGACCGACCAGCGTGATACATAAAATAGTGCAAACTACTGCATTCATCCACCCTGACTCAGGTTTGGTCCTTCTCTGAATGGGAAACTCATCCTGTTCAACCAGCCCGTGGTCTCATGAGACACGACTGTGCAAAGAGGGAGGGAGGGAGGAGACATCTGCAGAACGAGACGAGGAGATGGAATTGACCGTCGCAGTCGGCGGGGTGTCCGATATCCCAGCCAGCTTGTGTCATTCTCCCATCGTAGCGATTTCACGTACACTGACTTTTCGCATAACACTTAAACATAAAATACACCATTTAAATGGAAGACCTTTGTTCCATGATTAATATGTTTGTCGCTCTCTGGTGAATCACAGTGAGAGGTCTCACATCAGCTGACCTAACCTCGGTGGAATGGAGGGTGCTCCTCTTGCGATCAGAAGCGGAAGTCCTCCAGGTTTGTTTTTCCTTTTCAAGATTGCTTTGGCCCTTAGGAGCCCCTTGCATTTCCCGTGACCCTAGGATCAGCTTGTCACACTCTGTAAGGAAGGCAAGTTGTGATTTCCACAGGGATTGCAATGACTCTGCAGGCCAATTTGGGAGTACTGCCAGTGTGAAAACATGGAGTCTGCAGACCCACGAACAGGGGATGCTTTGGCATCTAAGTATGTTTCCTCTGATTTCTAACCATGTTCTGTAGTTGTCACAGTAAAGCTTTTCCACTTTTGTTAAACTTACTCCTAAATATTTTATTTTTTCATATAAATAAAATTTCTTACTGTCAGGCTTGCTTGCTGTTATTTTTTAGAACTACAGTTGGATTTTTGTACATCGATCTTGTGCACTACAACATTGCTGAGCTCCTTCCTTAGTTCTAACGTAATTTCAGTGCATTCCTTAGGATTTCTATACATAAGACATGTCATCTACAAGTAGAAATCGTTGAACTTCCTTTTCCAATTTGGGCGCCTTTTATTTCTTTTTCTTGCTTAGCTGCCGTGGCTAGAAAGTCCAGCACAATGTTGAGTATAAAGTGGCAAGAGTAGACCTCTTCACCCAGTTCCTGGTCTCGGGCGGAAAACTGAGGCCTTCCACCATTAAATATCCCATGAGCTGGGGGTGTTGGCAGAGGCCCTTTGTCAAGTTGAGGACAACCCTTTCTACTCCTAGATGTTGAGTGTTTTGGTCACGAAAGAATGTTAAATTTTGTAAAACCTTTTTTTCTGTCTCCATGGAGATAATTGTATAGTTTTTCCCCCTTGACTCTGTTAAAATGCTGTATTGCTTTGACTGATTTTTGTACGCTTATCCAACCTTGCATTTCTGGGATAAACATCCTTTTGATCATGGCATAAAACCCTGCTTTTGTGTTGTTTTGTTAGCATTTTGTTGAGGGTTTTTGCATCGATATTTATGAGATGCTGTTCTGTAGTTTGCTGTTCTGCCCATGGCTTCGTCTGGTTTTGGTATCAGCGTGTTACTGGTTTGACCAATGCTAATAACTGAAAGCCGTTACAGCATCACATTACCTGGCCACTAACCTTTGTTTCCAAAGCTTCTGATTTAAAACAATAAACGCATGAAGAAGTTTACTTTCGGTTTTATTCACAGGGAGGGGGATACATACAGTATTTTACATACAGCACACAATTATATATTTGAGAGCCTGACTGTAACACAGTCTTGGAGGATTATATCACGGCACTTCCCGAGAAAGATGTGCTGTACCTTTTGTACTTCTGAAAATAAGCCTTTTCGGCTGCAATCCAGAGTAGATTTACCTTATAGTAACTGCAGGGTACCATGTACTTATTTTTTATTATAATTACTCATAATAAAAATTATTCTCATATGTACAGTAATAAAAGTGGACTTACCTCTGTAGGAAAGGAACTGATGTCATTAAATGATAAGTTAAGATATATCAGCTGCAAAGCCAAAGGTGTTAAGTCTGGACAGTTCAGGATAAAAAAACCCTGAAAGAAAGTGACAGTGGAGAAGAGGTTATGAACAATGCACAAAGTATCTCATGCGAGGTTTAAGAATCTCACATCGTGAGCCACAGTGGTTCCATAATACACTGATAAGCCTGCACTCACCTTCCATTCACTCATTTTAGCCTGTCAGGGTAGTAGTTCCTTAAACACGTAAGCGATGGAAACGCTAGGGCATATTGTGTGTAGTTGGTACGGTGACGTGTGTCTGACAGGACTGCAATTAATAACGGGCACACGTTTTACCGAGTGCTCACTACCTGCTGGAATATAAATAGTTAAATGTGTTTTCCATTTCATTTTGCTTGTCACCACCTGGGTTTTTTCATGTCTCCACTTCTGCGGCACGAAGGTAGGAAGCCAGGAAAATGCCTTGGCTCGTGGAGGGGGACACTGAGATAGACAGACAGTTGAGCAAGGTGGCCTCCACCAGCACCCAGACTCGCCTCCCCTGCAGCGACACTCCCTGAAGCATTAAGTGGCCCCCCTGAAGCATTAAGCGGCCCCCCTGAAGCATTAAGCAATGACTAGTGCCCCCCCGCCCAGGAGAGAGAAGGATCCGGAAAGGACACACCTGAAAATCTGCTGAATGTTCATCCTACTGAGACCCTCCCCTGAGACATCCCCTAGAACTGCCACCTTTCAAAACCAGATAAAAACCCTTAAGACCAAGGACCAGTGCATGCGCAGGGGCTCACACTCTCTCCCTCATTCTCTCTCTCTCTCCCCCCCCAGTCTCTAGAGCAGGCCCCGACCTTTCCCTGCTTCTTTCCTCGGTGTGTGTCTTTGCTGTTCCTTCTCCTAAGCTCTGGAGGTAACCAGAATAGCTCACCCCGGGCGAACTCCCTACACCTGTCCCCAAGCCTCTGTACCCTGTTTCCTGAGTCCCCATAGTCTGGCTGGCTGGCTTCTGCTGCCCCTGTGGCTCTCTCTCAGAGGGGCCGAGGCAGCCCCGTCTAGGCTCGGCTCTTGCTCTTGCCTCCCATGGGCCGAGGCAGCCACACCCAAGGTCACTCCTGCGGCTATATCCTCGCCTCGCCTTTCTTAAGCCCGTCCTTTGTTTCGCTGTCCCCAGCATTAATGAAAGCACTCTCAAAATCGCCCGGGCACATGTCGGGAAATCTTTCCTGCACAGAGTGAAGAGCCAAGAGCCCACATTGCCACCAACATTTCTATTCCCCGGTTATCTTTCTGTTATTTTGACATCCATAGAAAAGTTCTTGCTTAAATACACCAATTTCTGAGAGACAAGAACTTACGTCTTGTTATAGATTAAATGTTTGTGTTCCTCCAAAATCCACACGATGAAGCCCTGACTCCCAATGTGATGTTTCCTAGAGGAGAGACCTTTGGGAGATGACGAGGGTTGGATGAGGCCCTCGCGGGGGAGCCCTGGTGAAGGGCGGGGCCCTTGCAAGAGTGAGAGAGGACTGGAGCGCATGCGTGTGTGTGTGTGTGTGTGTGTGTGTGCTCTCACGCTCGCTCACTCTCTCTCTCCCCCCCACGTGACCACGCAGCAAGAAGAAAGCTACGAACAAGAGAGCTTGCACTAGGAGCCAAATTAGCTGACATCTCCATCTTAAACTTTCTCACCACAATAACTTTAGTTAATAAACGTTGTTTAAGCCTCTCAATCTATATGGTATGCTGTCATAGCAGCCTGAAGGGACTACAGTTGAATGGTGCCTCCAGGATATTTAATGCCCCAGGAAATATGGAACATTTGTTTCCTTAAGGATCATAGAATCAGTGGAAACAACTGAATGGACCGAAGAACGATAATGATGGAGGGTCAAACCGAAGCTCGCCGTGAGGGGACGTATTGTTGCCAGTGTGTCAGGCTCTGGTATATGTACTGTGTAAGAATAAAGAGGTCCATGGCTACAAAACCTTAGAGTGAACGGTACTGGTTTCATGGCTGTGTGGGTACTGCACAAAAGTAGGCGTTCTTTCTTCCTATTATTAATGACCATTAACATCCATTTATAGTTATATTATTTTATGTGCTTGTATTTTAAGTAATATAGGAAACAAAAACTTTTACCAACTAATAATAGAATATTCACACACACACACACACACACACACATTCCCACCTTTACCAGAGTCCTTTACTTCTTGAGGCTCTGGATTGCTGTTTAATGTCTAAAGTACTCTTTTTAAAAAGCATTTCATATCAAGCAACACAAGTAACAAACTCACTCAACTTTTGTTTTTCTGGGGAAAACTTCATTTCTCATTTGTCTTTGAAGGGTAGTTTTGTGGGATGTAAAATTCTTGGTGGACAACTAAACTAAGTTAGAAAACCGAAAGCAAAAATAATTTCCAGTGCAACAAAAACTGCGCCATTAAACAGTCGCCCTACCTTGAGGTTCAGCGCGTTTCTCCCGTATATTTGACAGTTGACCACAGCCAGTTCGGTCATGGCTTGTATGGCCTCGTACTGCGTTGTCACGACGGTCTTGTACACATCACGGCGCTTAACTTGGGCCTCTGCCTCATTCAGTTTTCTAGTTTTAATGAGACCTGCACAAACAGAACAATACACGAGACCAGTGTCATCACTGAGGGGGAGATGCGGAAGGGACTTGTGACAACAGTGGGTGTCCCGGTAAGTGGCTCACCTGTGCTCGCACCCTGCAGGAGACCCCCCCATGACCCATGACCTCCCCCACCACCCCATCTCTGCTGGTTGTGTTGCCAACGTGGGTGCTGTCGCTGCTCTTTTTAACGGGATACAGCACAAGTGTCTTTCACAAAGAAAACCACGTGCTCATGTATTTCCGCCTCAGTCATTTGGATTCCATTAATCTCAGTCTTTATATACTATATATAAAAATACTTTAAAATCTTTTACAGTGAATTACGTAAACAACTTCTTGCTTCACAAAACTAATAACGGACATCACGTGAGCATGACTCGAGATAGAAATTACCTCCCGAGGAACCACCTCAGCGCTCTTCCTAATGTTACCTAGATGCACGATCCCAATGCCTAATGTAATTCGGCCCTTCCCTCACTTTCAAGACTTCCACACAAGAAATGAAAAAGGAAGGAAGCCAAGCAACTCAGGAGTGACGCAAACAGAGATCGCCTAAATCCACTTTATCGCGTTCCTGCAGATTTCACTTCCCCTCCGAAACAGCCCGTGCTGGTGCCAGGAGCACACGAGCGGCGGGGAGGAGAAGAGGGCGACCTGCGAAGGAACTCTCCTTAGGGTATCAGCAGATTTCTCAGCAGAAACCTACCCCTGGGAGAGAGTAGAATCAAACACTGAAATTACTGAAAGAGAGAAATAACTAGCCAAGATCTATACCCAGCCAAGTTATCCTTTAGATATCAAGGAGACGTCGACATTCCCAGACACACAGCAGCTGAGGGGACTGACTTCTAAAAGAGCACCACTGCAAGATAATGTGTACTGAAGGGTGTTCTTCTGTCTGAAACAACAAGACAAAAAGATACAAAACGATGAGCAAGACAACTAACAGACAGACCAGACAGCAGGAAATTACAACTCTTATTCAGAATAGGGGTCAAACACTGAAATATAATGGCAAAGTTAAAGGAGGTAAAAACATTTTTAAAAAGAGAAGACCGTAGCGACTACAATTCAGAAATGAACTCACAGCATGAAAAGAGATCACTCGTGACCACAAAAACGTAACAGAGGCAGTAAAAAACAGATTTTACACAGGTGAATGGAGACGAGATGCAATCAGGGGAAAGAGGACTGTGATATATATATGAAACTTCCTTTTGCATAAGCTTAATGATAACCACCGAGAAAATCTAAAGCGAAAACACACAACCTAACAAAAAAGGAAAGAGAGGAAACGCCACTGAAGACCACCAAACTGAAACAAACAGAAAGTCAAGGGAAAAGAAACAAGGAAGACAGAGCAATAGCAGAAAACAAGGATGGAACGGAAATCCTCATACATCTGCAGTCACCCTCAGCGCACTGAACTAACCGATGAAAAGGCTCAGCGTGGTGGGCTGGGTCACAAAACAAAACGCAGCTCACATCTCAGCTCCAAAGACGCACACGGAGCAAGGTGATGGGGGGGTGGGGGGGTGGATGGTACTCCAGGCAAACGGCATCCAGAGAATAGCAGGTGTGGCCGTACTTTTATCTGACAAAATAGACTTCAAGATAAAAAAGGTCACGAGAGAAAAAGACGGACATTTTGTGATGGTACAGGAGACACTACCTCAAGAAGACAACGCCTTCCATATTGTACGCACCCAACGTGGGGGCACAAAAATGTACAAAGCAACTGCCAGAACTGAAGGGAGGAGCTAACAAAAACGTAATGACAGTGGGGGACCTAAGCACCCCATTTACAGCCACACACAGACCATCTGAACAGGAATATCAGTGAGGGAAAGTCGGTCCACGTGACACATTAGACCTGAAGGGCAAGATCGCCATTCCAGAGCTCTTCAGCCCAGAACGCTGGAGCGCGCACACTCTTCTGGTTCACGAGGACGTTCGCAAGGATACAGACGACACGCTGACCACGAAGCCAGCCTCACAAATTTAAGAAGCTGCACATCATACCAAGCATATGGCTTCCGTATGCTGTCTGAGCATAATGCTTTGAAATTGGAAATCACATGCAAAAAAAGGTGGGGGGAAAACCCACAAATAAGTGTAGATAAAACAATACACTACTAAATAATGACTGGGTCAAAGAAGAAATAAAAAAAGATGAAGAAGACACATAAAGACAGATGAGAATGGGAACACGACATATCAAACTTTGGAAGGACACTCAAAAGCGGTAATAAGAGGGAAGTTTGTATCATTACAGCCCTACCTCAAGAAACAAGGAAGGTCTTAACTATATACAACCAAGCATATTTACAAACTAAACTTCCATTTGTTTCTGCAGAGTAGCGCAGGTTAAAACAGTGGCCGGTGCGGGGCAGGTCGCCAACTCGCATTACTGCGTGTCCATGTGCCCCACCCAGACTAAGATCACTGCAGCTTTTCTGTCCCCAGCCTCGGCACAGGGTTCAGTTTATGGTCAATACTTCAAAAACTGCTGCTGAGTAACGGGCACAAGGAACTGAAAATGAGGCGAGACACAGTGTGAATCGTGCGCGCACACGAAAACACACAAAACCACACAAAACCACGAATACTTTTACAGAGAGATCATCTTACACGCGGCTGTTTATAAGAATGACATGCGCCTAGCACGTACCTTCCCGTGGGGCTATCAAGCTTTGAACCACTTCTAGACTTTCGGTGTCTGTTTTCCGAGTTTCTAGGAAAAAAAAAAAAAAAAGAAAACATGAGACAACCTTTGGATACTTGTGAAAATTCACATGGACACTGTTACGTGTTTTTTTTTTTAATCATTGTTCAGCTTTTCATGAATTGGAGTCATCCATGGAATCTGCCCACAGAGACATCCATGAGAATGGACATTGTAGACTTCGTCCAAATTACCTTCCGAACGACTGTTCTTTCCCACTGCCCACTCGGATAGAAATATGAGATTCTCGGGTCCTCCCAACTCCCTTTTCTGGCTCCCACCACCACCACCACGTGGGTGGAGTGCCCGGTCGGGCCCTAGCAGACCTGCAAGGTCAAGGACTTCCATCCCGCTCTTGGGCCCGCACAGTCCATCTACAGGCAGAGGGCCAGTTCCCCACCCCGCTCAGCGGACCTAAAGGGGGCGCCGCTTGCTTGCATGCTTCTCCCTTCCCTTTGCTCCACTGGACCCCGTTGTCACGGACCCCGCTCAGCTGCATATACCTATTTCAGACTGCCTCCGAGGTTTCCTTGGCAACACTGGCGGTGGTATGGGAAGAGAACCAGGAAAATGAGTGATATTCAGTAGCACCGCCGAGCCTTGCTGTAAAGGGCCGAACCACCGGTGTTGTCCTTGCACAGGCGTCATTCTCGGGAGGCTTGGCCTCACCACGCTCCAGTCGATCAGGGTCTGCTTCACGGTGTAGGCCCTGCTCTTTGACAGAGGTAAGTCTGGGAGGCGCAGGTCCTCGGGTAAGGCGGGGGTGCCTGCGGGAGGGGTGCTGGCACGTTTGGGGAACGTGGAGGAGAAAATCAGGATGTCTTTCAGCGTGCTTTCGACAGAAGAAGTCTTCTTTATTTGTGATGGCTCTCCCTCCGGTCTTCCTGAGCTCTTCGCTCGCTTGGTTTCTTTCCTGAAAACTCGAGTGGAAGCTGACGGACAACTGGGGAAAAACGCGCAGCCAGCAGCAGTGTCGGGAATGTCCCAGTGATCCAGCTGAGGTTTGGGGGACACCGACGCAGTAGCCACTCTTTTTCGTACAGGTACGTGCTCCTTCAAAGAGAGATTGTGGATGGCAACGGAGGTTTGCAGTTGCTTCTTTGAAACAGGGGCAGGAAAACTAGTTCTCTCTCTTTCATCTTGAGTAAACTTTACCCGGGGTAGCTCAATTTTATCAGTTGTGGCTAAACCAGGAAAATAAAAAAAAATAGCACAATTAGATTAAATTTATCAAGGGATCAGGAACAAAACAATAATGTCTTATCAGTCATAGCTTTTCTTTATTCATTCATCCCTCTCTCGCCTTCTAAAAACATTTCTGGATATGCTCACACAGCTGTGGGAACTTCGGTTTCCCTGCCTGAGACAGAGTTTGGGTGAGTAACTAGAGAAGTAACCTGTATTCGATTTATGAAGGGCGGACAACCTACTCTTGGAAAAAAAATGGAGTTGATGGCAAGAAGAGTAGATTGTAAAAGGGAATTTTGAACAGTTTCCACTAAAACTCTGGCAGTGTGGATGGGGAAAATGACTTTGATGAAAGGTTGCTATTTATCATCGTCTCTTCCTTATGTGCAACTCCTTGAGCAAAGACTGTCTTTCTCTTCGATGCCAGGTGTCAGACAGATGTGTCTTTTGAACATGATCCCATTCTGATACTGGCTACAAGGTACCACAAGGTCACTGAGGTCACAGCAGTTTGTCTTCTTTTCTCTCTCGGGTCCAGAAAACGCACCGTGCCTATGTTCTTAGGTGCACCACTATATCTCAGGTAGGTTTTCTTTCCTATGTGACAGAATGGTAAATGACAGTTGTTTTCTGTTGTCTCAGCTGAGTACAATAAACGATGGGGACCCATATATGCTGATGAGGAGATAATAGAGTCCCAAAGGCAAGACTTGCGAAGAGACGGCCCAATAAGTGTAACTCGCCTGCCTGCTGTCTACACACAAGCGGGGGCTAGACCTGGGTTCGGAGAGAGGGTCTTTCTCTGATTAACGCTACTGGAATGCTATGTGTTTCCCTGATCTTTCCGTCCCCGTGGTGGGTGGAGGAAGCTAATTTCCCTTGCCGCAATCCAAGCGAGGGGGAGTTGTCAGGAAACCATTGTTAGGGAACAGGAGTATGTGCCTGTATCAGGAGATAATAACATCTCACCAGACCCCTACCCACCTCTCCTACCAATATCTGCAGAGTAGCAAAAGGTATTGGCTCATCCAGTGTCCAGACAGGAAGAGGGCAAGAGAATCCTTGAAATTCCTTGACCTGGATTTCCTGGTGTTCCAGGAGGGTGCAGAGATTGTTACCTGATCCTCACCTGAACTCTAAACTCTCGGGCTCTTTGTCACTCCGAACTCCTCCACCTACGGAGGAGCCAGAAACTAGGGCTCTGAGGACAGGAGTTCAGAGCATGAGGTGGAAGAACTGATACCACGTGTTGGTCACTCCCCACCGTCCTGTGGCTTAGAGTAAAGACGAGGACTGAAAGTCAGCAATCTCATGAAGTTCCGCTGTTTCAGGATAGAAAGATAAGGTCGAAGCCGCACATCGCAACAGTGGCTGGAGCTGAGACCGAAACTCGTACCCCTGGACGCCCACTGTGGGGCACTCGGCAGTATTCCAGGTTGCCGCAAGTCTGTAAATAATCGTGGGCCAAGCATTCCAAACCGCATGACATTTACAGCTGTCGAGGAGTCTTACGGTTGATAAAGTGCTTTCACCCAAGCTAGTGCACGTTAACCTTCTCTCACAGTTTAGTCGTCAAAAACCCCAGATTTTCCCTGCTGATTTTCATTTCCATCACCCTAGTCTTCATCAACTGAACTGTTCCCTTGACTTGCTGGCATAGCTTGATTGTGTTTTCATCAAATCAGCTGAATCTTATTAACAACAACTCAGATGTATTAGTTTGGTTAAAAACAAATCTGTGAGGGCTGGACCCGTTTCTGCTGACCTGGCTGAGTGACCGCTCCCTGCTTTGCAGTGCGAGTGCTCGCTGCTCTCGTGACCACTGGCAGTGTGAAGGCCACGGGGCTCTCTGATCGCCTCTCTCTTATTCTGGTCAAACCGCGAGGAACACCCCTTCTTACTAGCCACTTTAAATCATTCTCTTCTTTCAAAGTTTACCTTAAACCTTATGCAATCCATCATGCTTGATGAATACAACCCACACGTACTGTTCTTGCTAATTCAACATGCAGCGCCTACCATGTGCCAGCTGTGCACACAGTGCTGCGGTGGCAGTGACACAGAACTACCCTTGCCGGGACCGAAGACCTCACCGTGTAGTTCACAAACTAGGCAGGAAACAGTTATACAGGAGAGTGACAAATGTCCAGCAGGGGTAACTGTGGGAACCTACGGAAGCATAAATGAAGGCACTCTGAGGAGGTGAGGAGGAGAGAGGTATTTAGGGAAGTCTTCCCAATGAGGATGATATGTCTTCTCAATTCCATATTTCCTGGTTGTTGTTTTTTGACATAGTATCCCATGATTTCTTTTCTTTTTTTTTTCCTGGTATATTGAATTTCTACTTTGCCAATAGACTCCTCTTTGCCTCCAGAAGCTACATGGGTCTCCTCTATAAATAAATCTATTTCATTCCCCTCTTCCTAATTCTTCAAGCCTTAGACCGAGTTCCATTCCTGCCCCCATGCTTCTCCCATCTGTGAGCTACTGCTGCCTGCGCTATTAACTGGGCAGACGTTCATGCTGCTCAGTATTGCTGCTTAAGGTTCTCATTTTCTGTGCATCTCATCTTTAAAGCTTAGCTAAGGGTCTTGAAAGGTCCTAGCAGGCAGGGACTAGATCATCCTTGTCACCATCTCCCTATGACATTTTGCATTGTATGCAAATTGTGGATATTTATGTCAGAGCTTTACTTGCGTTGAAATATCCATGTTTATAAATTGCCTTTCAGTCATTTGAAGTGTCCATGCATTCAACAGATAGTTGGAACACTTGCTACATCCAAAGCACTCTGCCAAGGGCCTTTGGAGACACAGGATTACTAGTAGTCTAGGTCATAGGCTCTCTGAGCCACCAAAAGCAGAAGAGCCCCCCTCCCCCAAAAGTTATCCTGCCCCAAATGTCAATAGTGGGAAATTCAGTACTAGAGAATAAACTTCAATCAAAAGGCCAAAGGAAAAACTACAATGAAAGAACCAAATCAGTAGTGAGCAGTAAATTTACGTAACTGTGGGTATTACTCTTACAGAACATTTTGTGAATGTAGAAAAGTATGGAAATGTAGAAACGACATAACGAGAGTTGGTAGGGAAAGTGGGAGAGGAAATTGGTGGTAGTTAGTATAAGGCAAGTTATATACAATAAGGATTAAAGATGTTGATTTAAACACCTTCAACGGCCATGGGTCAGAAGATAATAATTTAACACTGCGAAGCCAGTCAGAGACTAGGTATATGTCAACAGTGTGAACGCTGACACTAAAATAATTAATACGATCAGTGAAAATCAGGTAGCGGAGGAACCCAAAAACGGGAAAGAAGCTACAGGCTAATTTTGTCATTGCTTGTCAGCAAGGAGTCCACGGATACCATACATGGGACAGGAGGGTTAAGGGTATTCTGTGAGGTGGGAGTTATAGAAGTGGCCCCCATGTGCCCTGGCTGGTGTAGCTCAAAGTGGACTGAGCTCAGGCTGTGAACCCAAGGGTCACCAGTTCAATTCCCAGTCAGGGCACATGCCTGGGTTGCAGGCCAGGTCCCCAGTACGGCAACCACACGCTGATGTTTCTCTCCCTCTCTTTCTCCCTCCCCTCCCCTCTCTCTAGATAAATAAAATCTTTTTTTTTTAAAGTGGCCCACAATTTACATATAGCATTTATCACAGAGCAATTTCACAGTTACACGTATGGCTGCCTGACCCCACCGCAGGGGGACCAGTGAGGAGGACTGGCCGGGACCATTCTGCTCACGGTCTCCCAGTCCTAGCCCTGGGCTCACAGTCAGTCAGTCAGTCAGTCCACGTTCTCTGCGGCCGGTCTGTTCCATGAGGTGCCAGTGAACACTGGACTAGCCAGTGCTGAGCCTCGGGTCTCAACATTACTGACCACCACTCCACACGGAATCTCATTTTACACGCATTTCTATTTTAAAGACACCTTGTTTAACACATACTGTTGATTCATTACCCCTGAACTCACGGCCAGCGACACTGCAACTCAGGCCTGAAGGAAGCGTGTCTAACACAGATTTTTCTCTCTGAGGCACATCTCTGTGCTTAAGGAGAGTAGACAGCGCTTCAGCACTGTGCTTGGGGACATTTTAGGCAGCAAAATCACCAACAAAGAGCACAGCTTTTCTTTTTTTCTCCCCCCTCCCCCCAAAACCATGGCACTACACAGACTGGGGAAGGGCAGTTGCTCACAGTATGAGAGCTGGAACGAGAAGGCGGAACACAGCCTGTCCCACCCGAGCTGGGAACGCGTGTTCTCACCACTCAGCACGTCCGCGATGACTAGGAGGCAGCTCACACACACACCTTCCGCACCCCTCCCTGCACCCAGTCACACCTAATGTCAAAGAAGCGAGAAAGAGCTCTGTGTGCTGCCCTGCAGTGCTCCTTGTGGTATATTGTTGGGTTAAAAAGACAAAGTGCAGAATGATACTGATCTGAAGGGTACAAATCAATGTTAGCCGTTAGGAAGATTCGCACCCACAGAACCCACAAATAATGAGAATCGCTTGTACCTGTAGAATTAGATTGGATGCTGTCAACTTACGACAAGCATTCGTCAGGGACTGCTTATTCGTGTCTTTAACTGCGGTGATTCTGAGTTGTGCGGGTTGAGAACTTTCTAGGAAAAGTAGTTAACAACATTGCTGATTAACATACGTACCTGTACGTACTTTCTTATATAAAGGCAACTTAGGGAGCTTTGGAGGTAAAGGTCTTCGAAGAAGAAGTTGTGGGTGGTTTTGCATTTTTATTAATGAGAAGCACTGTTTCTCACAACTATTAAGAATTGAAAAGCTTTTGAATGTGTTTGAATTGTTGCTGAACACTAATTCATTCGAATCTAGATTACATCTTAATGAAAATCATTCCGTGTTAATACTATGCTGAACCCAAGCAGAATTCCTATAAAAGAAAAAGAGGGTAAGAATATAAGTTTTTAAAACTTCTATAGAGAATCCAGGTAAAATGTACATTTATAATGAATACAGAATTTTAAAACATACATGCTATTACCAGTTATTCTAAAATTCCCCTTGTTAGCAAAAAAGTTCAGTCTTCCAGTGCTCTCTCCCAGTAAATACCGGACAGTAGAAAGGATACTCGTTTTTTTTTCTCTATCTCCAAAATGCTATCAGCCTATAAATTTGGGAAAAAAGTTGTTGGTCAAAAGATGAGAAAGTCCCCCCCGCATGACAGTCCCCGAAGACCCACAGTATCTAATATCCGAGCTGTTTTCTTTCTGTAACAAGGACTTATTTTCAATGTCAACCGCTATCGTTAGGGTATAACTATTCCATCCAAACACAGATATAGTCTTCGGTGTAATGAGATTTCTCCAGGACGTCTGTGACAATTAGTACTGTCTAGAAATGATGCCAGCAGGCAGACCCCAAGAACGTGCACTTAGTTTTCAGGGCTACATCTAAGTGCCTACTGCGTCGATATTCCGTTGACGGTCTGGGAGGAAACGCATCGGAGCTGCAAACAGGGGCCGTTTCATCCCCCGAAACGCAGCAGCGCTCACGGTGCGCCCCCTGCCAGCACGTCCCCTAGGAGGTCCCCTGTTTTTCCTCCGTGTTATCTGCAGAGGTGCTGGGAAACATGGGCTCCTTAGGTCTCCTTCGGGGCAGTCAACCGCTCCTCCAAACCGCCGACTCTTCCTCTTTTATCGCGCTCCGTTCCCGTGTGATTTACTCAGTAAGATACCGGTCAAGTGAGGTCGCGGGTCCGCCCAAAAGAGCGCAACGGACGCCCGCCACGCCACCGGTAGGGTGCAGTCTGAAGCCAGGGCGACGGGCGCCAGCAACCGGAAGCCGATACACCTACCTTGCCCGCTGGAGTGCGCAGGCGCTGGAGGGGGGCGGTCCCCAGGGGGGAAGGGGGCGGGGCGCTGCGCCGCGGGGCGGGGTGCGTGCCTACCGGGTGCTGCGAGTCGGCCCCGCCCCAAAGCGCTGTGCTCCGCGTAGATGCGGGGCTGCCAGCGAGGCAGCGGGTAGTGGAGGCTGCGGGCGGTAGAGGCTGCGGGCGGTGGGAACTGGAGGACAAGCCGGCTCCACATGCAGCTGCTGTACGGAACCCCGTGGTGACAATTGTTATTACTATTTTATTCTTAATGGCAGTGACCGCTGTTACTTATTTACTTGTCTCGATTACACCATGCGTAACTCGGGTATCCAGGATCTGAGCCTGCATTCTTCAGGGGGGCACTTGCGCGTGGCCGCTCTGGTTGCTGATTTGGCAGTGTCCCCGGAAAAATCCAACATTGTGTTTTCTTTCTCTTCCTTTCATTCAAACTGTTTTGTCATTCTGACCCTTTTAAAGTTCTTGGATGAAAAGGGATTGTGTAGGAAGAGGGGAATTAAGGATCGGAGCGGGACTTGAAAAGAAACCCATTTCTCACTGTCGTAGTCATCTGTTCTGTGACGTGTCTCTTCTGTTATGGTGTTGATGGACCTGTACCACGTGTGGGTGCAGTGATCAATACATGGCGTGTGTTGCATGGCTGTGCATGTTTCTCTGGAGACTGGAGGGAGAAAGCGCTTGAGAGAACTAACTAGGTATGTGTGCACCCGACTCAGGAAGTTAAAGCAGATGGAGCTTCCTTCCAGTACTTTTGTTTTTTTTTAAGTACAAGTGTTGAGACTTCAGAAACATATGTTGGAAGACGAGAGACTTCTGTAGAGATTTTGGGATCTTTCAAAATTTACTCCCTACCCGAACCTTCCTTTTTCTCCTTAAGAGCATGCATATACTTTAAAACAGTCAACGAAGAAGTGAAAAAGTATTTCATCAGACTCTGGGAAGTGTTACACACATTCTTCTCCTTGAGCATATGAGCCTGTGAGTTCCTTGTACCGCCACAGTGTTCCCATCCCACCGCCTCCGCAGGTTTTGGGTCTGTTCCGCTTTGCCTGTGTTTCCTTCATAGCTTGATTAGCTTCTCAGGCAGACAAAAACGCTGGCAAACGGCAAGTCTGATAGCTAGGTTTTTTGCCTCAAGTAATATTTGTAGTGCCTATTTTGAAAGTGTGAAAAATGTTTATATTTTTAAGCATAAAAATGTGTATGTTGCAATATGTAAGTTGGGTCAGGTGCTTGTGCTCTTCCTTATGAAGAGAACGACTGGTCACTAGAAAGAACTGCTGGGATTCAGTCTGACTGATGGGTGGTTGGCCTTTAAAACTTATGTTTAGTAGTGCAGAGTCAGAAATCAAGGCTTCTGATTGCCGTTTTTAAATGCTTTGTCACACATGGAGTCAGGTGACAGGCTTTACTTATTACTTCTATTAGACCAGTGAGATGGTTATTATGAAAATCCATGGCTTGGTGTGTTTTATATGTGAGTGCCAGTTATTCTAACACAATTAACATGCTGCCTCTATGGGAATGACGTACAAATGAAGACTGGATTTGGAAGGCACAGATCACATCCCATATGGATTGCTTTATTATTTTAATGCAGTTTATTACTTTTGAAAATACTACTACCTCAATGTCCTTTTCCCCTTAAAAAATCATCTTGTCTCTTTAAATAATACAGTTCTCTCTTTGATTTCAAGGGTGTACTTTACCCAATGCACATTACAGCCCATTTATTTATCCCATTAGCTCTGCAGTTTGGCAGAACCACATAATTGGTTTTGTCAAACTGAACCACAACACTTTCAATCTTTAGCAGCTTGTATTAAGGAGGCCGGGGTAACAGGGCCAAGGACATAGGGTCTGTGTTTTTGTTTGTACTGTGTGGCTCAAATGAGGTAAAAGCCTCATGCAACAGCAGCCCCGGGCACCCTGCAAGTAACGCTCTGGTTTTTCCTGAATAATGGGGAGTAACTGGGGCATCTCAGATTCACTGCCGGTGAAAGGACACCGCTCTGTTGGAACGGCGTAGAAATTGTTGCTGGACACCTTCCCTGTTTTCCATGTCGCACTCCTCCTGTTGGTTTGCTTGCTTGCTTGCTTGCTTGCTTGCTTGTTTTAAAACAGGACAGAGATTTACGAAGCAGTTTAGTCTGTGTAGATTCATCTGAATTGTCCATTAAGGAAATAGCTGGAGTAGTTTGTGTTTTGATGCTCATATTAGTTTTTAGAAGGTTTTTTTTTTATTAAGTAGTTCTTTTTGACTGTACACTGGGTAAACTTTTGAGTCCCCACAATAACCCAGAATACTAAAATGCTTTTGAGAAAGAGCTCTTTTCTTGGACTAACTTTACCTGATTGTTTAATTATGTGTCTTCACTTTTCACCAGCAGGAAAGCAAAAATGTATGCTTTTATTTTGTGTATTTCATTCTGCTGCATAAAAATCAGTTTTATATTTTTTAAAGTTATGAGGTATAATTTGAAGTTGCTTTTCTTTTTACCTCTCATACCTCACTGCAAAGACAAAAAGTTTTGTTTCTGTTCTTATTTTTTTTGCCAGTTATTTAGTTATTTCTTTTTGTCTTTCAAGATGATAATTATTTCCTTTCCTTTGTTTGACCTAGAGAATGATCCTGGGATTCCTTTTCAAAAGAAATTGTTACTGTCAAGGAAATGTCATGCAACCTGTGTCATAGATTTTTTTTAAAAAAACTTCCAAACATAATAGAAAGACAAATTTCTATCTGCTTTTAAAAGCATATTCATGAGTTCAGTCTCTCATTCCAGAATGATTTTATTGCAGACCAACTGTGCGTAAGGTACTTTGCTAGGTGCTAAACTTTAAACTATTAAAACAACTCACAAAGATTCATTTGAGGTTTTATCATTTTAGACATTGCAGTGAAATTCTAAATCATTTTCAGAGGCTTTTCCTATTTATAATTATAACTGTTGAGGGGTGTTTTTTTTTTTGTTTACAATGTTAATGTTTTCTCATGCTCCTTTGCTAGACTAGTGTTGCCTATTTGCACTACCCCAAATACCTGGAAACAATTTTATATTTCCTTAACTCCAGCGATCTTACTAAACTTTGACTCTGCACCCAACTGATACTAGGTATCTGAGCATATTATGTGATTGTGTCCACCAAAAAGAAAAGGTAGAAATAATTGTTTCCTTAACGTCGGGTTGACTGTGAGTGAAGAACTGTCAGTGCTGGAAGGTGCCGTTTTAAGTGTCGATTTTTATACTTAATCTTACTCCACGATGCTCATGTTCACTGAAAACTCTAGTATGTGCATCAAATGTCAATCAAAGGCATCACCGCATAGTGCAGCTTGGGCGTCTTCAGGTCCTTCCCTGCCACTTGTAGCTCTGGGCCCTTGGACCACGCGCTCAGCCTCCGTGAGCCCCTGTGGTTTTCTCACCTGTATGGTCGGGTACAACGGGACCCAACTCGGGGTACTGGGAGGACCGAAAGAAGTCATCTGCGTCAAGGGCTTGGGTATTTTTAGGGCACAGTTGTGAGCCACTTGGGGTCCCTCTTGAAGGTAAGAAGGAGGCGTCCCTGATCAGTGAGGAGCTGAAGCCACAGACCACCGTGATTAAGAGTGGAACCGTGGGCGTGACAAACCCAGCTGGCCACCCCGGGCTCAGTGGAAAGTTTTCCTTAGAAACCAGAAGGGCCGGTTTCGCTAATCCTGTGCTGGGCGCGGCCAGGACGAGCTGCGGTGAGGTAGGGCAGCTGTGAGTTTTGGACCCGCCCCTGAGGACTAGACCCGGCCCTGGGTGTGTCTTCACACATGTATGTCCCTTACATGTGCTTATTTTCATGGGAAGAAAGTCGTTGTCACAGAGAAATGTTCTCTGCGAGGTAGCGGAGGGGGTGTGGCTTTTAAGAGGTCAACATTTTCCTCATGAGTCACTGACGCTTTCTGGCTGGAGGATGAAGGAACCCTGGGGGAGGGGGAGGAGGGGGCGGTTCTGGCTGAAATGGAAACGAGGACTTTTCCTCCTGCTTGACCTTCAGACCGTCCCCCAGATGATCTCTGACCTTTGGAAACTTCTCACCATGCTCGAGAGGCACCTTTCTCCCTGGGAAGAGAGAAGGGGCAGCCTTCTGAGGGGTCCGCAGGGAAGGGAGGACCCTGTCTCCGAAACAGCAAGCTGCCCTGTGCAGGGGTCGGTCTGCAGTGTGGCTTTAAAGAGAACGGGTGCGTTTCCTGAGCGTGTGGTTATGAAGGGAGTAGAAGAATTGTCCTCATGCAGTCACTCCGGGATCGCTCCAGCCTGCGTTCCCACGGGCGGACCCGAGAGAATAGCTTGGGATTGTCGTCATCGGCGTCATCAACTTCCAATGTGTCTAAAGCTGACCTGGGACTAAATCGGGACGATCGAGCCCCAGTTGGCTGAGCTCTGTGAACCCCAGTTTCCTCACTCTTAAGGCTCTTTCAGTACGTAGGCTGGATGGCTCTATTGCCAATTTTCATTTATGGACTATTGATCGATTAGCAATAAGTAACTACGTGTGTTTGTATTTTTTCACATGCACCCATCTGGGGGTATAGGTATTTAGAAATCTATTTGATTGCCTAGTACTAGGCTGGGTAATAAATATTTGTTGAATGGATGGATGAATCTGTACTGGGACCTCCCACAAACTTTGGTAAAACAGGCTTTGTTTGAACCAATGGAATCATTCATGCCTTGCAACATCTTTAAGCAGCAATTCACCGTGATATGCTAATTACACAAATTCCTAGCTCTCTTCTGAATTAACATTAGGCCTTCAATATTTACCATGCCAAATACTTCCCCCTGTTTTTAACCGATGAGGACCATGAAGATAACCATTGTGTTAAGTCAGGCTGATTCAACATTTTGTGTGATTTGTCAACCATTCAGTATCATTCTTCCTATCAAACCAGTCACTCCACAGGCACCAGCAACATTATTTTCGCACAATTTTTAAGTTTTTAAATCATCTCCGTTGTAACGGTGTGCCTCCAGCATTCTTGTGCGCCTGTTTGCGCTGCTTGCACGTGCTGAGGTTCGTCATGCTCGGAGCCCGCAGTGCCTGCCTTCCACGTTTCTGCACACACGGCAGACGTGCCACCACCCGAAGGTGTCAATTAGTGACACCTCTGGATGAATCAGTTACAGGGTAGCCAACCTGACACTTAAGCTTTTAAATTCA